AACTTTTTCCCCAAGTGCCTTACACTCCCTTGTGTCTAGCACATAGAGGAGTTTAATAAATGTTTTTAGAGTGAATAAATAATCATATGAATTTAGAAATTCACAAATCTATGGAACCATAGACCAGTCTGCCTTGAACTTTCATCCCACATCTCTCTCTCTCTTTCTTTCTCTCTCTCTCTTTTAAGTATGAGAGAGAGAGATCGCTCTCTCTTTTAAGTATGAGAGAGAGATAGGAGGGGAGAAGGAGAGAGAGATAGAAACATCAATGATGAGAGAGAATCATTGATCAGCTACTTCCTGCACGCCCCCTATTGGGGATCGAGCCCACACCTGGGCATGTGCCCTGATCAGGAATCAAACTGGTGGCCTTTTGGTTCCTGGGTTGACACTCAACCTCTGAGCCATATTGGCAGGGCCATTCCACATCTCTTGGATGAAGAACTCATTGACCCATCATCTGTCAGTACTGGAACACTCCTCACAATTTCAAGGACCTTCTAAACATAAAACCAGCTGGTCCACGGATCATTTCTTCCAAATGTACCTGTCATTGAAATAAAGAACAAATAAAGCTTTAGCTTGTGTTTACAGTACTCTTTTTTTACAGGAAGGCAAATATGATTACATATGATTTAAATGAAATAAACTTATAGCAAGGAGAACAAATGAGTTTATTTGTGACTCTTGGATAGATACGGTTAATACAGCTACAGTAGGAAAAATATAATAACAGTGGCTTAAACAAGCTAGAAGCTTTTTGTCTCTGTCACGTAAAAGTCCATATGGAGGTTCTGCTCCATGAAAGCCTCACCTCGTGGCACTGAGTTCCCTGGGATATGGCTCATGGTTCAAGATGGGCTCCAGCTATCACTTCTCCTCCATACAGCAGAATGGAGGAAAGGGGGACGAAGGGACAAACAAGCACCAACTCTCTCTTAAGCAAAGGTTCCTGGAAGCTGCCACAGGGCACTTCAACTTAACATCCCCTTGGCCAAAACGTGGTCCTATGACCACACATAATTATAAAAGAAGTTGGGGAAAGTAGTCGTTTTATTTTGAACAATCACTTGTCCAACTGGAAACTATTTCACTATGGCACAAAAGGAGTATAGATGTGAAGGATACAATTAGAAGTCTATCACAAATACTAAAACTGAAGTGTTAGTGATTATTCAAGAACTTTTGTATTCTCACTATTATAGGCTGAGGTGACAATAATGAACTCCAATTGTTCATCCACAGTGTAACAATCATGGTTGGTACTGCTCTGGTTGTCCATAGCTAGGAGCAGGAAGGAGTGAAGAAGAAAGAAAAAAAAGCTTTTGTAATAAGGAAGTTGGGGTGGAGGTGATGCACTGAGGAAAGGAATGAAAGGAGGAAGGCAGAGTGGAAAGAGATGGTAGAATCAACAGGACAAAGTGATTGGATATTGGAGGAAAGGGAGAAGAGGGACCTAGAATGATTCTCTAATTTGAAAGCAAATTAGACCCTGGTAACTGGACTAAAAAGGGTGGTTTGGAGACTACATTAGACTGATGGAGTTAACTACTGCAAATTGACCTGAAATCTCCCCTTCATCTATTATTTCTTGCCATGAATTTTCTCTTGAATGGACTAATGAAGTTAATAAACTTTTCTAAGTAGTTAATCTTTCACAGGAAAAAGTTAACAGGTCTTAGTGACTTACCCAAGCCAGTTATAATGTTCCCTCTCTTAATTCAGTACACTACACAGGACTCCTTAAAATTTAGTTCTTAGGGCATTTTTAACTCAATGTCAGAATTTCTCACTTGACTAAGCTGACTGTTTGGAGAATCTATCCCCACAACTGGAAAGTAGAGTTGGTGCTGTTGCCCTCTTTACATTGTGAAGTTTAAAATACATTGAATGTTTAAAGGACCCGCCTCATGACTGGTTCAGTAAATGCTAGTTTCTGTCTCCCTCCAAAGTGCTTTTTCGAATGCATTCATACAAACATTTATTCAGTGGTTACTATTTCACACTGTGCTAAGTGCTGGGGAGAAAAAAATGAATTTAATCATTGAAAACAAAGTTATAATATTTTTTCTCATTTCTGGATGTTGAGGTAAAATGCAATCCTTTACACCAGAGTGCCTGCCCCCTGGACTGGGAGTTTCTGAGGACAAGGAACAGGCAGGTGTTTGTTACTTTATATCCCTGGGCCTTAGCATGTGTGTTTATTAAATGTACTAGAGGCCTGGTGCACAAAAATTTGTGCACTCAGGGGGTCCCTCAGCTCGGCCTGTGCCCTCTCGCAGTCTGGGACCCCTCAGGGGATGTCCACCTGATGGCTTAGGCCTGCTCCCCTGAGGATCAGGGAGGAAGGAGGAAGGCAGAGTGGAAAGAGATGGTAGAATCAACAGGACAAAGTGATTGGATATTGGAGGAAAAGGAGAAGAGGGACCTAGAATGATTCTCAGCTTTGAAAGCAAATTAGACCCTGGCAACTGGACTAAAAAGGGTGGTTTGGAGACTACATTAGACTGATGGAGTTAACTACTGCAACCCAGGCTCCCAGCCCCTCCTTGAGCGGAGGCCAGGCCAGCTGGAAGCAGGTATCTGGGATTTATTTATCTTCTATAATTGAAACTTTGTAGCCTTGAGCGGAGCCCAGTGTGGGCCAGGGCAGGTGGGAAGCTTGGCTTCCTCCATTGCCGGGGGCAACTCAAACCTCCTGCTGGCTCCAGCTCCATGGCCGCCGCCATCTTTGTGACAGAGTGATGAAGTGATGGTTAATTTGCATATTACTCTTTTATTAGATAGGATGATTGAATGTATGACTAAGACCCAAGGAATAAAGCCAAAAAATCTAAAAACAGGACTGGAGTTAGAGAACCGGGATGGTCAGTATTGTTCAGACATTACTGGAGGCCCTTCCATGAATCCTGAGTATCTATCTGCCGGGCTGCTCATGCCATGTGGGGCTTAGCACCGTCTTCTTGAATGGCTGTTGGAGGAGGTGGGGATCTTAAGAGACAAGGGGCGCATATGACAATGATAACAGCTTGACATTTATGCATATAATTATAATAAAGTTTGATGAATCTTTCAAGAATACTTACCTGGCAGGGGAGATACCATGATCACGAAGGTGGTTTTCCCAGGGTGAGGCTTATCCATTGCACTCCAGATGTGCTGACCCCTGTGATTTCCCCAAGAAAAAAAAAAAGAAGAAGGGAACTCCAAGATCCAAGATATAAAAGACTATTACAGGTGGACCTACCTGGTCTGAGGGTTCAGGGAAGGCCTCCTTGAAAAGTCCTATAAATTGCTTATTGCACAACTGAGGTGTTAGCATAGGTGGAAATCCAGACTGTGTTTCACTCCCCAGGCAGTAGGTTCACATTGGCCCAGGACTGTTTCTGCCCCCAGAGGCGTTCTTTTCTCCATTTACACAAAGGCCTCACAGTTCACTATGTCTTCCTCACTGCTACCCCTCAGCCATGCCTCCGAAGTTATAGACATCTGAAAGATAAGCAGATGTTTTCCAGACAAAGTTTAGGCCAGGTGGACCAATAAGGGGAGCATCATGTATGAGGCCTGGGGGATATAAAACAAGCCTGTGGCCTGGCTGGCATGGCTCAGTGGTTGAGCATTGACCTATGAGCCAGGAGGTCATGGTTCGCTTCTGGCCAGGGCACATGCCCAGGTTTTAGGCTCAATTCCCGCATCCTGCGGGGCGTGCAGGATGATTCTCTCTCATCATTGATTTTTCTATCTCTCTCTCTTCCTTCCCCTCTGAAATATTTTTTTAAAAAATAAAAGAAGCTGGTGCATTTGAGGATCTGAAGAAAGTTCACTATGGCTGGAGTGGGGAGTTCAAGGGGAAGTTTAGCAAAAGTGAGGCTGGAAAGGTGCTCATTACAACTGGCATTTTCTGTGACTTTACTAGCTGCACTCTGCTAATGGATATCTATGCATTATTTTATTGAGATCACAGAGGTTAAGTGACTTGCCCAGAGTCATATGTTAGGAAATAGTGGAATTATGATTCAAAGCCACGTTTAACTTCAGAGCTGGTGCTCCAAACCACTTGTTCCGTGGCATCAAATGATTTGCAACAGTGGGTTGCAAAGGGACATAACTGGAGGAAGGGAGGCCAGTGAGGAAATAGCTGCAGAAATCCAGGTAAGAAATGTTGGTGGACTTAACATGGCCTTGGAAATGGGAAGGAGTGGGAGGATTCCAGAGATATTTAGGAAGTACAATCTATGAGGCTTGGTGCTTGTTTGAATATGAAGGGCAATGATGAGAAGAGGGAGGAGATAAGGATGACCCTTATGTTGTGTCTTCGTGGATGGCATGTCATTTGTTGAGATAGAAAATGGTGGAGGGACAAGTTGGAAGCACCTGGGGAACATTCAAGTGCAGATGTCCAGTTGGTGGTTGGATGCTTGGGCCTGAAACTCAAGGGAGGCTGTGTAGCTGACGTCAACATGTAATTGTTAACCCACAGAGTGGATAATAGAGAGTGTAGAGTGAGAAGAGCAGAGAGTTCCTCCTAGGACAGCCATGCTAAAGCAGATCCAGCTGTTGAGCTTTGTAGAACATAACTGGACTCTTGGTTTACTTGCATCCTTTATCCTTTTCAAGAACTAGTCTTCAAAGGTTTGTGGAGTGTCATGCTATATAAATTGTAACCAGAGATCTGTGTTGAAGAAGCACAAAAAAGGGAGGCTACCATAATAAAGAAAGAATAACTGGCCTTCCTGACATTTTTGTTTGATTTAAAGTCAGATGTAAACTTAAATATGACTCATAAGAACATATGTGCTCAATAAGGTATTATTATTATTATTATACAAGGAATTGCCAATTGCCTATGCATTAATTACACAGAAGGACAAGAGCCATGCCTTCCCCTGCTGCCCTACAGCTTCTCTAAATAGAAATTCTGAACCACTTTTGTTGCAGTCGTCATAACAAGATGGAGAGTTAGGCTTAGTTGAATTCATTTTGTCTCTCTTTTCTCTTAGAAAGGCTCGCAGCAGTCTCTACATGATGTGGCTTCTAAAGAGTCAAGGACCATCCACCTTCCTAGTTTGCAATGGAAACGGCAGAAATGGAAATTCAAACACCACGACTTCCATTCTGTTATTAATCACTCTGTAGGCATGTGCCCCCACCGCAAGGAGTGAACTGCACCAAACTTCAGCACTTCTTGTCTCTCCCCCTGGAGAGGAAGCAGAACTATGGCGCTTTATAGCTGCTGTTTGATCCTCTTGGCATTTACCTGGCACACTTCTGCCTATGGGCCCGACCAGCGAGCTCAGAAGAAAGGGGACATTATCCTCGGGGGACTCTTTCCTATTCATTTTGGAGTAGCAGCCAAAGATCAAGATCTAAAGTCAAGGCCAGAGTCGGTGGAATGTATCAGGTAAGGGAAGGAGCCAAGTCAAAAATCTCTTCTCTTCTGGGTGGTTGGAGAAAAGCTGTACCAAACCCAAAACAATTCTTCAAACTTGGTTTTCTCTTTTCAAAAATGGTGATTGGTAATCATGCTGAAATTTATTATCCTCCCACCCCTGACTTTTTAAAGAAATTTTTCCAAAAGTATATTATCACCTTCCTTAACCTGGACACGAGAGACCATTACTGCACCCCAAGTCTTGACCCATCTTCTAAGAGAGAATAGCACCTTCATTTTGAGATTTGCAACTTCCAAAAGTGATCCAGCACTTTCCTTGGTCTTCCTAGTAGCTGAAAAATGAAAATGAAAAGTAGGATTATTCTAAAAAAAAAACTGGATTTTTGTTTATGTACTAGTGAGAGCTCACAAATTAGATAACATTCTCACATTTTTTTTACGAATTCAGAAAAACTAAGTGCAGAATTTTACTGGTCCTGATTAAATCCTTCACATAACCCCTGTGGACAAGAACCCCTTTGCTGCACCCTGCTGGTCAGAGTGTTGCATGTGCCACATGTATACCTAAGATCAAGCAAGAAGCTTGACATTGAGTAATATGTATTATATTAAGAAAGATAGCAAAATTAGCTTAACAGTACAGATGTTTTGTGTAATCAAAAATTCTATAATATCTCTTCACAACTTTTCAGATTTAAAATAAATAATTAAATAACAGAAACATAAAGAAAATGACTAAGAGAAAACATTAAAAGTTAGATCAGGACCTTCAGCACCCTAAACAATATAGGGGAGATTGTATTTCTCACCTCCTGTCATAGAGTTCAAGTAGTACAGCCCACGATGCAAAGGGAGAACCTGCAGAGTTGTTTTGGGCACAGATACACTGACTCAGCACATTTTTGGAGCCTTGACTCTGAGCCAAGTCTTCAGAGGATAAAACTATGTCACTGACCCTATTTCTCTGGGTTAATTTGCTTGATTTTTTTACTTAAAACAATATCCTTTGAAGAGCAATCCATGCTCATTTTTTAAAAAGAGGAAGTATAAATAAACCAAAAGCACACAATTTTAAAATCATATTCCACCACCCAGAAATAACCAATGCTTGTGAACAACCTTTCTATGCATAATATTTGCTTACTTGTTTATTTACAAAGGTGACACCACCCATTTCCCTTTCCCCTTTGACCTCCAGGACTGTCGTGGTCTAAATTTGTGACTTTGCAAATCTGAGGTTATTCTTGGGCTCCTACATATTAAAATCCTAATCTATTTTTATGTTCCCTAGTCCTTTTTCTTTTTAAATCTCTATATTACCAAGGAACCTCAAATTCTTTGCTGGGTGAGTCAGATACAAATTATTAATTCTGTTACTAATAACAGTCTTTATTCGTATTATTCCCTAACTCTGTGAGGCACCATGCTGAGAAGTTTGTATAATTATCGCTTGTTCCCAGCCACCCTATGAGGTCTGTGTTATCCCCATTTACAGAGAGGACCTTGAGTCTCAAAGAACCCAACATCATGAAACCAAAAAGTAACAGAGCCAACCCAGCTTTGCCCAGTCCTTACTCTAAAGTAGGTGACCAGAAAGCCTTCCATTTTCTTCCATTTCTTCTTTCTTCCAGGTACAATTTTCGGGGGTTTCGCTGGTTACAAGCTATGATATTTGCCATAGAGGAAATAAACAGCAGCCCGGCCCTTCTTCCCAACATGACGCTGGGATACCGGATATTCGACACTTGCAACACCGTTTCTAAAGCCTTGGAGGCCACCCTGAGTTTTGTGGCCCAGAACAAAATTGATTCTTTGAACCTTGATGAGTTCTGCAACTGCTCACAGCACATCCCCTCTACCATTGCTGTGGTGGGTGCAACCGGCTCGGGCATCTCCACAGCCGTGGCAAACCTGCTGGGGCTCTTCTACATTCCCCAGGTATCCGGGCCTTCTTAGGTGGGGCGATGTGGGCTGGGGTCAGGAGAACCGCCTTGGGGGACTGCCATCCTCAGTGTCTAAACAGTTTGCTCTTTTCCTCTCTCTGGCTTTACATGGACACAAAAGTCCTCTTAATCACTTGGGACATTGGATCATGACCATTGGGGATTTTTGAGACACCCCCCCCCCCCAATGTCAACATCAACTAGACCTTCACAAGTCTTCCAAAATTCATTTAAATATACCTTATGTAACACTTTGTATATGACTTCTATTTATTTATTTGTATACCTTGCATAGAACTTTCCCCCCCAAAGTGTTCAGTTCTTTAACTTCCACGCCATTCCTTTAGTAAATGACCTTTCTTCTGCCTTTACTAAAAGGAATGAGACCATATGCGTTAAGCCGTTCAAACCTCAAATATGTCCCTAATCCTACTCTACTCCCTTAAACATCTCTTCCTCTCAACTATCTGGTTGGAAATTTAGCTCAGAGAGAAGCAAAGCATGTTTTCTCACAAAACAAGAACTTGGTTGCAGATTCTAGAAATGGAAAATATTCTATTCCATTCAGCAATTATTTATAGAGTATATATGAAGAAGCATCTCCACCCTGTAGGAAGTCAGTGTAGGTGGGGGAGATGTCTGTACTTTCAGTGAATTGCACATTGACTGAAACATGTGCTTTGATAAGTGTTTGTTCAAAGTTGTATATTTTTTTTCACCAAAAAAAAAAAAAGACAGCAAGCTTTCAATGTCATTTTATAACCTAATTTTTCTCCCTTAATACTATAGAGCAAACTTTTTCTCATGCCAATATTTATAGATCTATGACATCATTTTATAATAGTGAAAAATTGGAAACAACCTAAATGTCCATGGGTGGGAGAATCAGCTCAATTGTGATATATTTCTTATATCATTTTTTTAATTAAATTGTAAATCACGTTTTAAAAATCAAATTTTAAAATTTTTATGTCTAATATTTAAAATTTATAAATTCCTTCGATAAATCCACATTTCTATGTTGTGAGATCCTTGTTTTGCTGGATGCTAGCCATTATCCCTTTACATACACGTGACAACTGAGAAAGTCTTGTCATCATTTCCCGAATCCTTACTTTCAGGGAATTAAAGGTGTTTCCCATGGGGAAGCCCTGGCTCTGTAACTTTTGTGCTAAAATGATCTAACAAAGTGAATGTGTTGGGCAAAATGCAAATGTGTATCTTGTAAGTTTCACATATGGTGCAGTATTATTTTCAATACACAGTTAAAGTAGATTGTTGTGATCTCATGTCCAGCAGGTATAAGATGCAATTGTCATCAATAAAGAACATGAAGGGAAAGATTTTAATTTTTTGTGATTTGAATGAAAGATAATGTTAGCTTGAATTTGAATATTAGAAGTGCTGAGAAGACGACAGTGATTATCAGTCAAACCAATGTAAGTGTATCTACAGCAGTGGTTCTCTGCCCTGGCTGCATGTTGGAATCATTGGAGAGTTTTCAAGATACTGTTTCCTGGGTCTTATTTCCCAGAGATCGTGGTTTCATTGATATGAGATGCAGCTTGGGTGTTGGGAGTTTGGGAAGTTCCCCAGGCAACTCTAATGGGCAGCAGAGTTGGGAACCACAGCTCTGCAGGGTGGGGTCAGTGGTATTTCCGTGCCACTCACGCCACCAAGTGGATGGAATGAGCAGACCAGCTAGCTTGTTCTAACCATAATAAGTTGTGGTCAGAACAGGTTAGTGAATCATCCATGAAATTCTCCCCTTATAATAAAAAAATTTTTGTGTTTTTTTAAGGAGTTTTATAGGGGGAGGGAGTACAAAGTGGTGTTTATCCCCCCACTGGACAAATGTTATGAATGCATTCTTTAAGAGAAACATACACATGAGGGATATGTTTGTTTTTCAATTGTATTCCTTTAAAACTCTTTTTGGCCAAATTTTCAAAAATCAAGAAGTAAGCAATAATGAATGGATTTAAAAATGCCCAAGTAGGTTTTTCATTTGCAAAAACCTGATTTAGAAGCCTATTGGTTGGGTCTGCAAATAGAGCATCTCAACAAATTATTTAATCTCACTATCCATCTTATTAACTCCCACAGTACAGCAAGCAGGGGCTTATTCTGAACAAAATTTTTTTTTTGTCAATTTCATATTATAACTTCCAAATTCAAAGTTTTTATTTTAAAAATATGCCTGCCCATTAGCAATATTGGTCCAGTTTTTCATAGACCAATGCCTTTTATGTTTTGGTATAGAAATGATTCATTGTTAAGAAGAAACATTTTAGAAAAATTCATTTTAAAAGCACTGAACATAGGAAATTAATTGTTTTAATTGGTGATAAATATCTAAAAAGGCATTCTCCAAAATTTCTTTAACTTCATATTTTTAAGAAGTTTAAAAATCTCCCTAGAAAACTGGAGAAAAGTGATATTAACATCCCTCATTACCTAAAAGAAATTCCATTAAATATAAAAATGCTTTGTTCTTCAGAAGAAATGGTCCAATAACTTGGAACTTCCTAACTGGTGAGCCAGGACACACAGGAGTGCTACAGATAGGCCAAAGCCTGCCAAGATATTGATCCCCTCAAAGTTTTGGATGGCTAAGTCAGAGCACCCTCCACCAGGGCTGCTCAGCCTCTTCCATTAACCTCATTTTCTGTGTTTGCCACAATGTTGGAGGGGGAGGGGAGTTGGGAAGCTCTGTACTAACAAATGCTTTACATGATATTCAGATACTTCTGCAGGCAATGATCTTTTACCATCAAAGAAAAGGCTTTCTTCCCTTGGTGCCTCAAATATAGAACGGGCTATGTCTAAGAAAGTGGAAAGACAGCAAGGCAGCTTTCCAAGGTTCCTTTTCAGTCTCTCTAGGATTTAGAGACCCACCTAAAAGCCTGTCAAGAGGCTTAGGCCATCACCTGAAATGAACAGAGGAAGGGGCTCTGAATGGTGACAGAACCCACTGAGAAGCCAGGCGGGGAAAGGATGTATTTCTGACTACATTTAATAATGCATGTCATTGTTATGGTGGTGCAGGGAAATTGAGCCTAATAAACCTAATGACTAATTGAGCCTAAAAGATAAACAGTTCTTGTAAATGACTACAATTAAGGATACTTTTATCTAAAGTACTGTGGGGAGGAGGAGGGGGAGAAAGGAGTGGGAAGAGAGTGAACTGCTAAAGACTAGAGATGGACAGGAAGAGAGAAACTAGGCAGACTAGGAAAGGGGAACCCCTTGGGGCTCCTCTGAAGAGACTTAGGCTCATAACCCAAAGGGAACCTATACCTTTCAGAAGTGAGTCATGGAAAATGTGTTCATCGCAGTAAAGGGGGAGCTAAAATGTTCATATCAGAACCTGGACCCAACAAGCAGATGTGTACATGGGTATAGTGTAACCAAGAGGCAGTACCGAGGAGGTTAGGAGAAACGATGGGACAGTGCATAAATACTCTCCGTGAAAGAATAAATGGACCCTACTATTGTTGAGCTGACTTTATGGCCAGACCCATTTTTGAGGGTAGCATTGTGAAGATCCAGCCCCTGCGAATTAGAATGCTCCCTGATAGACTGACTGACAGGTGCTTGGATGCTCACACTGGAGATTCTGGTTGTCCTCACCCTTTCATCATGTCTGCAGTGAAGAACATATTTGATAAATTATATTAATAAATGCTCAACAAGCCACCTCCACACAGCCTTGAGGCTCACCTAGCACCTCCCCCAGTCATTCATTCTGTGTTCTGTATTCTTTCCAGGTCAGTTATGCCTCCTCCAGCAGGCTCCTCAGCAATAAGAATCAGTTCAAGTCCTTCCTGCGTACCATCCCCAATGATGAGCACCAGGCCACCGCCATGGCAGACATTATTGAATATTTCCGCTGGAACTGGGTGGGCACCATTGCAGCTGATGATGACTATGGCCGGCCAGGGATTGAGAAATTCCGAGAAGAAGCTGAGGAGAGGGACATCTGCATTGACTTCAGTGAACTCATCTCCCAGTACTCTGATGAGGAAGAGATCCAGCAGGTAGTAGAGGTAATCCAGAATTCCACAGCCAAAGTCATCGTCGTCTTTTCCAGTGGCCCAGACCTTGAACCCCTCATCAAGGAGATCGTTCGGCGCAATATCACGGGCAGGATCTGGCTGGCCAGTGAGGCCTGGGCCAGCTCTTCTCTGATCGCCATGCCGGAGTACTTCCATGTGGTCGGAGGCACTATTGGATTTGGTCTGAAAGCTGGGCAGATCCCAGGCTTCCGGGAATTCTTGCAGAAAGTCCATCCCAGGAAATCTGCCCACAATGGTTTTGCCAAGGAGTTTTGGGAAGAAACATTTAACTGCCACCTCCAAGAAGGTGCTAAAGGACCATTACCCATGGACACCTTCCTGAGAGGTCAAGAAGAAGGTAGTGGCAGGATAAGCAACAGCTCCACTGTCTTCCGACCTCTCTGTACAGGGGATGAGAACATCAGCAGTGTTGAGACCCCTTACATGGATTATACACACTTACGGATATCCTACAATGTCTACTTAGCCGTCTACTCCATTGCTCATGCCCTGCAAGATATATACACGTGCTTACCTGGGAGAGGGCTCTTCACCAACGGTTCCTGTGCTGACATCAAGAAGGTGGAGGCTTGGCAGGTACATCCTTCACTTAGATAGCAGTTCTCTGTGTAATAAAGCAGAGTTTGGCCGATCTGGGCAAGACAGATAAAATGGTTACTGTGAAACAACAAGATCCTAATAAAATCACTAAATGTAGCTGTGAATTCAAATTGCCTTTACAAATGTCTGAGCAACTGGCTCTGGACAATTGATATTAATTTAATTTGATTATCTGTTTAAAGCTTTGGCTCAATTGTCCTTTAGCCTAGTGGTTCAGAATATCTACAGTATGGCCCCTAAAAGGTTTTTAATATCCTGGGATAGATTTAGTACTGAGGGGAGGATGTTTTTCTAATGCTTTACTTTAATGATACTGCTGTGAGTAACATGTATTTTTTTAGTATTTATTACATTTCATATGCTAACAGACATAAAACTAGTGTTACTGTGTATAGTCACCACTTTGCCATTATATTACTCAAAATATAATGTACTAAACCACCCAATAGAACATTTAAGCTTAAGACACAAGCAAGTCAAGGGTACAGATAAAGCTTGCCTTAAAAGTATTTGATATTGGACATTTCAAAAAGAAGCACTGAAATAGTTACAATAGAAAATAATCAGAACTTAAGTGGAATTCCAACACTCATTCTATGGTTTAGTCTAACTTCGTATTTTTAAATTACATGTAGGAGAGACATCATAATCTTTTCATTTCATAGAACTTATGAAGATAAGTCTGACTTGACTTATGTCTTACATAACCATTCATGTCTTGCATATGTATCTTCATTTTTATTTTTTAAGTATAGTTGGTATACAATATTATATTAGTTTCAAGTGTATGAAGTAGTGATTTAACATGTATATACTTTACAATGTGATTACCACACTAAGTCTAGTAATACTCTGTCCCCGTGTAACCTTGCCACAATATTATTGACCATATTCCCCTTCACCTTGTTACCCATACCCCTCACTCCACCTCCCCTCTGATAACGATCATTTTGATCTCTGTTTCTATGAGTCCATTTCTGTTGTGTTTTCTTTGATTGGCTGTTTTTGTGTGTTTTTTAGATTCCACATATAAGTGAAACCATACTAATTTGTCTTTTTCTGCCTGACTCGTTTCACTTTGCATAATGCCCTCTAGGACCATCCATGTTGTTGCATATGGCAAGATTTCATTCTTTTTTATTGCTGAGTAATATTCCATTATATGTAATTATATACCACATCTTTATTTGAAGAAAACAAAAACAGTAATTCAAAATGATATATGCACTTCTAAGCTCCTTGTAGCATTATTTACAATAGCCAAGATATGAAAGCAACCTGGGTGTCCATTGATAGATAAACGTACCTTGATTTTTAGATGGTGAACCTGCAACCCAGATACATGCCTTGACCATGAATCAAACCTGAGACCCTTTGGTGCTCAGGCCAACATGCTAACCACTTAGCAATGCTACCCTAGGTTCTTTTGAAGATGAAATGAGATGATGTATATGAAAGCAATTTGTAAAGTTTTAAACTCTAAACAGGTGGTGGTTATTATAGTAGGATTTCAATATGTCTCTAATTAATCAATTAGGAAAAAAAACACTAAAGTAGCTTTGTACACAGAACCAAATCACCATAGACCCTTTGGAAAAGATACCGAGACACAAAGAATGTACAACCTATGTCACTCATGTTAGAGATTCTCAGGGGATAAGGCGTGACTGTTGAGGCTTGGCAGAATGAGTCAGGACACACACAATTTTGGTTGTCCTTGTGTGGGAAATACCTTACTCAGACATCATTGTTGGCTGAAGTTTCTAATCTCTATGAGGTCCTTAAAGTTTCCTTCCTTGCATTGCACACCCCCCACCCCCAACCCTGTCAAAGAAAGAGGAGCTTTAATGAATGTCAAAGGCCAAAAAGAATTCAGAAGCCATGACTCTAAGTTGTGGAATTTTAAGAAGAAGAAATAAATAGACAATCTTTGTGTAAATGTCTTTTCTCTCTTCCCTTGCACATCCCCTGGAAAGAGGAACCCAGCTTCTGAGAGCCTATAGAACCAGGGTGGGGTTGAAGAGGAAAACACTTCCAGTGGGTACTTTGACATTCTGCTTTTCAGTAAATCCTCTCCCAGGCAAGGATATAAGACCCAGATGGTCAATATCAAAGCTTGGACATATGAGAAAAAAGCCAAGAATCAGGCTATAGTCAAAATATGAACTTTTAGTTGCATGCTATAGAAAATACAAGCCAACGGGCTTAAACAAAAGAAGGAACATTATTAGTAGCTCATAATACTGAACATCTCAGAAGTACAACTAGATGCTTTCATCTCCATGTCTCTCTTCCTTAATCCTCAGGATTAACAACAGTTTCAGGTTCATAAAATCCTTGCTGCTAGGCTCTCCTTAGTTTCCAGGATCTCCTGTAAAAGTCCCAAAATCCACATTGATTGACCAGTCCAGGGCCACATATTCATCCCTTAAGCTAGACTTCGTAGACTGAGAGTAAGGCAGGGAATAGATCCCCCACGTTAAATCAGGATGCTATTACGAAAAGAAGGTGGAAAGAGAAGGAAAATAGCAAAATAAAGTGTTCTCTACACAGACACCTCAGTTGACCCTAGTACAGGTAAAGATTTGGCCTCCTGACTCACATACAGTCTGGTGTAATTCATCCAGGAGAGGAAACAGGAAAATAAGGCCAGAGCTCTAAAGAGGAATAACATGTGGGCACCAGCCAAAATATCCTGTGCTGTAAGTCTCCTTTGAACCTCAGGATTCCAGGCGGTTGGGTGGGCGTTCTGGAATTTAAGATCTTGGCCATGTGTCTATCAGAAGATGGACCAGCAATGATTCACACTCATTATTAAGACCTATATGGAAACTTATCACCCATACAATCTAATCCAAGAATCTCAGCCTGGAATTCCACTTTCTCTCAATTGTCTTATAAGCCAAGCATTCTGTCACCTTCCCACAAAACACTAGTTACTTTTGGCATAGAATTTTTGCTTACATACTATCCCACACCCAAAGAGCCATCATTGTTTTCTATCATTGTCCACAGCAAACTTTTAACTTTTTCAAAATTTACTTTCTCCTGAAAGTCTTTTCAAGTCATACCCGCCCCACACACACACACACACACATGCTTTCTGACCATTCTTTCGTCCTCATTTTTGCCATTTATACACCCAGCTTAAGCTTCCAAAGCTCTTCAGTTGACTGAAATAGTAAGGTCAATTATAATTTTCTTTTGTTAACCATTTCTTCCCTTCCCCCCCTAAAATTTATCAACCAACTAACTCATATGCCTCAAAAGTAATACTAACAGGTAATTTATGAGCATACAACACACAATTACCTCCTGACCTCCACGGAGACACTCCCCACCCTGACCCTCCTCACGATGCTCATCAGCTCTCTCTTCACTGTGATTTCCCCCATTATACTACTATAAGCTTCATGAGGGCAGGAACCATGTTTGTATTCAGCACTGTGTCCAGAACGCCTGGCACCTGAATATGTGTAGAATAACGGAATGAATGAGTAGCAGTCTAGTTGATTTGACCTGACAACACTACTTAGAGTCCTTTGCAGAGAATTATTCAACCCTCAATCAAGCACTGGCCAGTGCATTCTAGGCTGTGATTGGGAGAACCTGGGTCACACACCCAACAATCAAGTTTGAATGGGGCATCATGTAAGTAAGTATGGAACTGCCTTCTTCCTCTGTTAGGATGATTGTGCACAAGACATGCTTCCTACTTTCCTCCACCATACACAAACTACTCAGTAGACAAAAAAACAACAAAAAAACAGGCATGCATGATGACAGTACCATGGTAATAACAGAAGCCAAACAAAATTGATCTTTCCAGGAATTTCTGGTACTGTTGGGGGTTGAGAGAGGGGAAGTGAATTGAGGTGAGAGCCAAAGGAGATGCAAAAGATGGAGCCAGAAAATAAGGCTGAGGTTAGAGAAGGGAATTGGTCAAGGATTTTCCCTATACTCTTAGCACAGGAAGTGGGCAAGAAGCAATAGGATCCTTATCTGTGTGAACTCTCCCTCTTAGTCCATGTGAATGGGGTGCTTTGTGCATCTTGTGCCACTGTCCCTCTGTGCTGGGAAGTGATGCCAAGAGTAGAGGGGGAGGGTAAATAATTGATTATTAATGGACACGGTGAAATTTTTAACTTGAAAAATTCAACACTCATATGATTTTACTTATATGCCTGCTGTGAGGATGAAACACTATTCAGGTTAGGATTTGAAGTAAAGAAGAAAATAAAAGATGTCATTCAAGTTGGACCTTGAAGGCTGGATAGGATTTGTGGAAGGGATCTGTTCCTTGGAGGAAATGTAAACTGCAAGGCAAACACACCCAACAATGAAGGTGAATCACAAAAACATTATGTTACGTGGAAAATATTCAGACCAAAAAAAAAAGAATACATAACTGTGTGTTGTATTTATACGATATTCTACCTCTAATGATAGAAAACAGATCAGCGGTGGCCTAGGGCTGCAAGTGAGGGTGGGATTAATTTGGAAGGGACATCGTGGTACCTTTGGGAGTGATGGTAGTGGCAGTTACACAGACATGTACATTTGCCAAAACTCATAACTATACTCTTAAAATGGGTGTATTTTATTCTATGTAAGTTGATTAAGAATACAAAACAATGGAAAGTCCCATGGGTGGGAAAGTACAGGCCTTTCATGGAGATCTGGATGTCACTCAGTTTCTACCCTTTTCCCATTATGGCCTCTTGTGTTGCCATAGTATTATACATGTCTCCACCTCCCACTTTTAAAATATGTCCATTTTCTCAACCTCAGTTTTATACTAGTTAACCTGTTGTAACTAGGGATAGACAACTTAATAGATACTGTCTACTCTGACTCCTACACCTGCGTAGTAGTATATAGTGAAATGGTTAAGAGTTTGGACTCTAGAACCAGACTAACTGGATTTAAATCCCAGTTGCTACCTAATAACTTTATGACCTTTGGAAGTCATTTAATGTGTCTCGATTTCTTCACCTGAAAAAATGGAGATATGAAACATAAATTTATTATGAGGATAACATTAGTTCATATATATAAGGTACTTAGGATACTGCATATGTATATATATAGTAAGTGTTCAGTAAATATTAGTCTTGAGTATTATTCTTTTGTAGGTGAGGAAAGTAAGACTCAGAAAAGCCAAGATGACTTGCCCAAAGTCATATTTAGCCGATAATAAGAAAGGCAACATCTGCCACAGGCATTCTTTCTCTGATGAGGCCAAGGTAACTGTTAAAAGAACCATGTGCCCAGTTGGTTCTCTGGGCACATGTTTTCTAGCTCCTGAGAGCCTAGCCAGGTCAACTGATGGTTTCATAGTAAAGATACTGATCCATAGCCCTTAGTCTTCTGGTGTACTGCTGTCATCATTCTTATATGGAACAGTTGTTTTTTTGTACTTACCCTTCTCTTCAGGTAATGCTCAGCTGTTACTAAAACATTATTGCACTACTAGAGGCCCAGTGCACGAAATTCTTGCACTCATTGTGGGGAGTCCCCTCAGACCGGCCTGTGCCCTCTCACAGTCCAGGAGCCCTCAGGGGATGTCTGACTGCCAGCTTTGGCCCACTGCACTTGCCAGCCATGAGCCCAGCTGCTGGCTCCTGCATTGAGCATCTGCCCCCTGGTGGTCAGTGTGTGTCAGAGTGACCGGTTGTTCTGCCGTTCGGTCGATTTGCATATTAGCCTTTTATTATATAGGACTAGAGGCCCGGTGCACAAAAATTTGTGCACTGGCGGGGGAGGGAGTTAGGGGTGTCCCTCAGCCCCACTTGTGCCCTCTCACCGTCTGGGACCCCTTGGGAGATAACCATCTGCTAGCTTAGGCCCACTCCCCGGGTGGCAGATGGGAGGCCCAATCCCTAGGTGCCTGGCCCGCCTCCCCAGGTCGGGCACACGGCAAGGCCGATCCAGGGGTTGGGGTGCTGCCCCAGGTCGGGTTGCACATGGGACACCCCGGGTGGGTCACACACAGGAAGTCCGGGCGGGCCGGCCAATTGCTGCTGCCCCACCCGGCCGCCCTGGGTCAGGTCACACACAGGATGCCTGGATGGAGGCCAGGCGGGCTGGCCGATCGCTGCTGCCCCGCCTGGCCATCCCGGGTCGGGTCGCACACAGACGCCCGCCACCCTGGGTCACAGATAGCAGGCCCGGATGGTGGCAGGGCATGCAGGATGGTGCTGTCCTGCCCTGCCTGCAGTATGCAAATTAGCTGACATCTTTGTTGGTGATTAGCTTGCATATCACGCTGATTAGCTAATGGGAGGCATAGTGAAGGTATGGTCAATTACCATGTTCATCTATTATTAGATAGGATGGTGATTCCAACTCCCCTGTTCCTTAACAAATTGGTGGAAGTTTTATAATAAGTTTATTCCGTGTTTTGAGTATTTACTGAAAATTAAATATGTGCTCATAATAAAAACTTGACATGTAGCCCTAACAGTTTTGCTCAGTGGATAGACCAGCCGTGGTCTATCCAGATCCGGCCCGTTTGAAATGAATAAAACTAAAAAAAAAAAAAAGACTACCCTTTTATGTAATAATGTTTACTTTGAATTTATATTAGTTCACACAAACACTCCATCCATGCTTTTGTTCCGGCCCTCCGGTCCAGTTTAAGAACCCATTGTGGCCCTCAAGTCAAAAAGTTTGCCCACCCCTGGGATAGACTGTCTGCTTGCTGCTTCGATTCCAGTCAAGGGCATGTACCTTGGTTGCGGGTTTGATCCCCAATAGGGGGCATGCAGGAGGCAGCTGATTGATGTTTTTCTCTCATCGATGTTTCTAACTCTCTATCCCTTTCCCTTCCTCTCTGTAAAAATCAATAAAATACATATTTTTTTAAAAATTGACATGTAAAATATGATATTTATTTATTTTTTTAAATATATTTATTTATTGATTTCAGAGAGGAAGGGAGAGGGAGAGAGAGATAGAAACATCAGTGATGAGAGAGAATCATTGACTGGCTGCCTCCTGCACGCCCCCTACTGGGGATCGAGCCTGCAACCCAGGCATGTGCCCTTGGCCGGAATCAAACCTGGGACCCTTCAGTCCGTAGGCCGATGCTCTATCTACTGAGCCAAACAGGCCAGGACTAAAATATGATATTTAGCTGTAGCTTTCTTAAAAGATCACAAAGGAAATATTTCCCCCCAAAAATCCAAAACTTCTCTTTTTCTTTCATAAAGAGAAAATTAACATTTTATCCTATGAAAACCACAATTCTTATGACATGTCTACCCTACCACTATTAAGTAAAATCTTCTAGCACATTTTAAAACAAATTCTACTAATATTTCTCTGTTTGCCTGTTTGTTTCTTTGTCTTAATCTGGAAGGTTATTTTTCTTTTTAAGTCAGAACACAGAACATTGATTATAGTTATAGCTCAAAGAAAGAAATTATATTGGCCCTTTATCCTATAGTTATACTATAGTTTTCAGTAATTTGCTTTTCAATATATAGGTTTAAGTTCAACCAATTACATAAAAGCCTTAAATTCTATGGTCCTCAATGGTAGATTTTTTAAAAAGTGACCTATGTCTTTTCACTTTATTTGAAAGTTCTTTTGTTTGTTTGTTTGCTTATTTGTTTTTGTTTGAGTGTAGAACTTAGATCTTTATGTTTTTATCCTAAATCAGCCTTATCCAGCTTGGCTAAAACTTCCAGTACAGCCATAGTGGGAACAGACTTCTTGTCTTGTTCATGATCTTAGGGGGAAAGCAGTCAGTCTTTTTTTAAAATAAATTTTGATTGATTTCAGAGAGGAAGGGAAAAGGAGAGATAGAAACATTAATGATGAGAGAGAATCATTGATTGGCTGCCTCCTGCACACCCCCTACTAAGGATCAAGCCCGCAACCTGAGCATGTGCCCTTGATTGGAATCAAACCGGGGACCCTTCAGTCCGCAGGCCAATGCTCCATCCACAGGCTGATACTCTATCCACTGACCAGCTAGGACAGCAGTCAGTCTTTTACAATTAAGTATGATGTTACTAATGTAGGTTTTTCATAGATGTCCTTTATAGCATTGAGGAAGTTCCCTTTTATTCTTAAATGGCTGAGAGTTTTTATCTGGGATGGAGGTTGGAGATTATAAACATGTTTTCTGTAACAATGGAGATGATCATATGGTTTCTCTTTTGTAGCATGTTAATGTAGTCAAATGCTAAACTAACTTTGCATTCCTGGGATAAACTGAACTTGGTCACAGTGTGTTTTTCTTTTTGTAGATAGCTAGATTTGATTAGAGATACAGTGGAAGCGAGCACCCCTACACTTAGAGGCGGGATCGTGCCTTACTCTTTCTTGGTGCCTCAGTGACCTCTAGCCCTGGGTAGGTCCCACATGAAAGACCAGCTGCTGAGTGCCCACTGCCTCCTCTTGACCCATGTCAGGGGCACTCAGGAAGCAGAGCCAGGAGCCTAGTGATGCTTCTGTAGGGCATACCCATTAAGAGCACAGGCTTTGCACCCCTTGCTAGCTGTATGGCCCTGAAAAGATACTTTTGTTTTCTGTGCCTCAGTTTCCCCAAAAATGAAATGGGGTAGTAGTACTACTTGTTGTGAAGATTAGATTCGATAATAAATTATTTAGCATTGTTCCCCAAAGGGAATAAAATAACTAGGGAGGTTTAGTAATTATTATCATTACTTTGTTTTGTACAAGGGCTTTGTGACCCATAAGACCCTGTAAAAATAAGGGATTGGCCATAACTGTTACAATAAGACTCCACCCACAGCCTCATGTATTTCTTCCTCCCACTCCCCTCCGTTTGAGTTTTGGTAGCGAGACGCTTCCACAAAAACAGTAGCACAGAGAAAGATGGTGCAGATTATAAAGGCACGTAGTGCCTCACTCCTTCCCCAAATCCCATCTCAGAAAACACCAAGAACGGCTCTGGCTTACAAACCCATCCCTCCCGGGGCACCACCGGATGGTAATGCACCTGTAGAAGTCTTGTCTCGGCCTTTGGTGAGATATCTCTCCTTTCCTTCCCTAATTTCAAGAAAGTCCTTCCTACCCCAGGTACAATTTAAGTACCACGTAAAGCCCCTAGCTTACCAGGGCTGCTGCTAACACATGAAGTACCCCAGCATAAATTAGAAAAAGGGGCCTCTTCCTCAAGTCACGTTCCTTCCACTTTATTAGATCAAGATTGTTTACTGCCCTTTCTCTGTGCAAAAACCTACATAACCATATGTGGCAGCCCTGCGGCTTATACTCAGAATATTCATCTCTGTTCCTCTTTAGGTCCTGAAGCACCTACGTCACCTAAACTTTACCAACAATATGGGGGAACAGGTGACTTTTGATGAATGTGGTGACTTGGTGGGGAACTATTCCATCATCAACTGGCACCTCTCTCCAGAGGATGGCTCCATTGTGTTTAAGGAAGTTGGATATTACAACGTCTATGCCAAGAAAGGGGAAAGGCTCTTCATCAATGAGAAGAAAATCCTGTGGAGTGGGTTCTCCAGAGAGGTATGTGCTGCCCATCTGAACACCAGATGCCTCCACCATGGCAGGAAATGTGCTGGGCTTTGGAGGGCCTTGGACTGTTCACCACTGGACTTCCAGAATTAGTCCACTTCCCTCAGCTCACTCTGCATCGCCAGGCTCCCCATGAAATCCATGAGTGTTTGGTGTACAGCAGCGAATCCTTGGGACCTGAGCCCCATGCTTATTATTTTAAAACAATTTTATTCTTTACAAATATGACTCCCTGGTTAGTAATAGTTTCCTTAACTAAAACTTTCCCCAACTGGAGCAAAATATTTAAGCAAACATAAACATCAATCAAGGCAGGGCCTGGGTAATTAATTCACAAAGAGGTAGTTCCCTATGATTCAAACATCACAGGGCTGCTGACTTATTAACCAAAATGACCATTTATTTTTCTCCCTGGGAGATCTGTAACACATAGGAGGATGTTTGTGACCATGATCAGGGTCCTACCCCTTGAATATCACTGCATTTAGACGCCTGGTTAATAATCAGAAGCCTCTCACCCAGTGAATATGCTCTCCAGGAAAAGACACATGATATGCTAAAATGATGACCATTTTGTGGTGATTGAGTCCCAGATGTAATAGGCTACTGAGGACCCAGGTCCTCTGTAATACAAATCCTGGACAAGAGTTAAATCCTCTTTAACTCTCCCGAGATGCCTGGATGAAGCCCACTGCATTACTCTTTGCGTTTGCCTTCCTAGTATCACTTTTGAGTCTCTTGAACTATTTTATAAAACGTGACCAAAGATTCAACTTCATCTTTTACCAAATGCTCCTTAGGTTGGTTGGTGGGTTTCTTAACAGATACTATAATTTTATTGGTTCCCAATGTGTAGGATAGTTACCCGTGCAGAGGTCTACTATAGATAGTGAAGCTTATCCAGTGTGCGAGTCATTGCTAGCCTCTACCTCAGAAAATGGATTCTCAATTTTAAACATGTCACAACCCTTTCCAGAGATTTGGGGCTTCCAGAGGTTATACAACCCTGTCCACTAATTATACCCTTGTCTAACTTATCACAAGTTTCAACTGACTATAATCTAAATTGATCAGCTATACCGGTGATGGCAAACCTATGACACGCGTGTCAGAGATGACACGTGAACTTATTTTTTAGGTTGATTTTTCTTTGTTAAATGGCATTTAAATATATAAAATAAATATCAAAAATATAAGTCTTTGTTTTACTATGGTTGCAAATATCAAAAAATTTCTATATGTGACACAGCACCAGAGTTAAGTTAGCGTTTTTCAAAATGCTGACACGCCGAGCTCAAAAGGTATGCCATCACTGAGCTATGCTATCACTGATTCCCTGCTGTTAAATCACCCAGGTTATCTTTTACCTCCATTAATGTACATAATTGATTGTCTCTAATAGGTGTATGTCTCGTCTCCCTTCTTGCATGGAAACTATTTCCTGTATAGTTCTCTATAACCTAAAACAGTCTGTGCACACTGTAGGTTTAAACATTGGAAAATGAATAATAAGGATTCTTTATGAACTCAATCATTTATGTTCCTGAGGTAGATGACAGAGTTATAAATTAAATCTAATTTTTCCACAGAAACATTACTTCAAACTTAGTACACATAGGCACTCAACAAATATTAGGGTCTAATCCACTTTCTTCTGCATTTTTTAATAGAAATGGCCACAAAGATGTCATCTATATTTAACTATAAATAATGTATTAATAATTTCCCTACATAGCTCACAAAGTTAACAAAATCAAGGATGCAAAAATTAGTAATGCAAACTGTTATTAATATAGCATTTATGTATATAAAAGCCCAGTGACCATGATGGCAGATTGACCAGAACGACTGGTCACTATGATGTGCACTGACCACCAGAGGGCAGACACTAATAGAGGAGCTACCCCCTGGTGGTCAGTGCGTTCCCACAGGGGAAGTGCTGCTCAGCCAGAGGTCGGGCTCATGGCTGGCTAGAGTAGCAGCGATGGCAGGAGTCTCTCCCACCTCCACAGCAGCGCTAAGGAGCAGCGAGCCAAATGGTCAGGAGCAAGCAGGCAGGCAGTTAGGAGTGAGCAGGCAGGAGGTAATGAGTGAGGGGTCCCAGATTGCAAGAGGGTGCAGGCTGGGCTGAGAGCCCTCCTTCTCCTGTGCACAAATTTTGTGCATCGGGCCTCTAGTTATAATATATTAATCAATGTCTCAGTTCACTTTCTAATGAAGCACTTTAGAGCCAAAGGGTCTTTTTTTGAGCTAGAGGGGCTTTAAATATCTTTGTATCCAACACCCTAATTTGAAGGGTCTTTTTTGGAGCTAGAGGGGCTTTAAATATCTTTGTATCCAATACCCCAATTTGAAGTTGATGACACAGGTTTAGGAGGGCAAAGGTGACTTCCAAGACAGGACAGATGGTCAGTATAAGAGTTGAGACTAGGATCCAAGTGCTGTGACTCAGACCCTAGTGCTCCATCTTCTACACTATACTCTCTGTAATTATTTCCTTATTTTATTACAACAAATAAGAAGAAAAAGAAACATCATCTTTGTGGTCTTGGAATTCAGATGGGCTTCCTTGGCCAGAATTGGATAGGCATCTTTGATGAAGCTATTCAGAAGAATTAAAGATACTTGCTGGCTTTTTGCAAAATGGATTTTTCTTGGTGGTTTCCCAGTCCACTCCTTTGGTGATAGGATTTCTCTTTAGCTAAGGGATGCAGAAGGAGGCAGTAAGAGGGCTCAGAGGTTGGCATTATTCTAATTCTTCACTACTATAAAGCAGTATTTTGGTACAATGAAAAGTACAGACTTTGGAATACTTACCTGGGTGTGAATCCAAGCTCTCCAATAAGTCACTATATGACCTTGAGCTTTTTTTTAACGATTATGAAGAAAAAGTTGGCATGACAGAGACTGCTAGAGGCCCCCAATATTTGTTCTCCCTTTTTTCTTTAATAATAGAACTCAATTTTAACTGGGCACATGACCACCCAGAATAAAAAAATTTCCCAGTCTCAAGTAAGTATGGCCACATGACTAAATCCTGCAGAATGGGATGCAAGTGGCAGTGTTATGTGATGGAATCTGGGAACCTTCTTTTAAGAAAGTGCCTTTAAGAATCCTTTGCTCTCTTCTTCGTCTTTTCCTTGATCCTGCTTCCTAGAAAACAGATGCCCGTCAGGTAGCAGCTAGACTTGGTGTACACGGGGTTTTTTGCTGAGTGGCCTCAGACCTTGTACTGACATGGAGATTGAACCTATATAAATCTGGTGAACACCATTCACCCTACCTGGTGACACACTGAAAACTTGCCTCATACCACCAGAGGCTCTTTCAGTAACTGAGCCTAATAGGCAGCCAGCAGGTGGAGGCAGGCAGAAATGGACCTAGGGGTCCCTTAGGCCTTTTTGCTGATATGTCCCCAGGCTTGGTGCTGGTGGAATCCTGCCTTAGTGCACACCTTGGTCCTTCCCACACACATTCAGGCCCAGCAGAGGCAGCCACAAAGTGACAGGTAGCTCAGGACCAGTCACAGGCAGTGTCTGATATTGACCTGCACCAGAGTTCCTCCTAAGAGGCCCTAGAACCAACACCCCCAGTGGCCAGGAACCAATTAGTTTTCGCAAGTGGCATATCCAAAGGGAGATCTCGGCAGGCACCAGAATCTGCTGAAGCAAATTTTGCTTAGTGTGGTCAGTACCTACACAGCAACTCATACACTGTGCTCAAGGTTGAACCTCACAGCCAGCCAGCCTGAGAGCTGAACTCACCCACAAATGGGCCAATAGCAATAAAAAGTCAATTACAACAGAGGAACGCACATAACCCATATAAGGAACATTCCTAGAGTACCCAACTCAGGTTATCAAGGAGACTGCACCACTAGATCCCACAGGACACCTATTATATAAGGACACCTACCAATACTAGAAGACATAGCATATCTACTTAATTCATAGAAACAAATACAAAAAGGCAGCCAAAGTTGGAAGACAAAGAAACATGCCCCAAGTGAAAGAATAGGAGAAATCTCTAGAAAAAGGGCTAAATGAAATGGAGGCAAGCAATTTACCAGATATACAATTCAAAAAACATGGTTATAAGGATGCTAAAGAAACTGAGTAAGAACTATAAGGAACTTATTGAGAACTCCAACAGCATGAAAATAGCCATAGAAACCATAAAAAAGAATCAGTCAGAAATGAAGAATACAGTATCTGAAGTGAAGGAATCACTAAAGAAATAAATAGTAGGTTGGATGAAGCAGAGGATCAAATCAACAATTTGGAAGACAAGGTAGCAGAAAACACCCAATCAGAGCAGCAAAAAGAAAAAAGAATCCAAACATGTATGGATAGTTTAAGGGACCTTTGAGACAAAAAAAATATATAACAATATCTGCATCATAGGGGTACCAGAAGGAAAAGAAAGAAAACAACAAATCAAGAACCTACTTGAAGAAATAATGGCTGAAAATTTCCCTAACCTGGTAAAGAGAAAAGCCACTCAAGTCCAGAAAGGGCAGAAAGACCCAAACAAAATGAACCCAAAGAGGCCCATACCAAGACACATCATAATTAAAATGGCAAAGTTTAAAGACAAAGAGAGAATCTTAAAAGCAGCAAGAAAAAGACAGTTAATGGCCTACAAAGGAGCTCCCATAGGACTTTCAGCTGATTTCTCAATAAAAACATTTCAGGCCTGAAGGAACTGGTATAAAATATTCAAAGTGAAGAAGCAAAGACCTACAGCTAAGACTACTATACCTAGCAAGGCTATCATTTTATTTTTTTTAACTTTTTTTTATTGCTTAAAATATTACAGAGTAGTACATTTGTCTCCTTTTTCCCCCCTTGACCTTCCCCAGCCTCCCCTACCCCTCAGTGTCTTGTGTCCATTGGTTATGCTTATATGCATGCATACAAGTCCTTTGGTTGATCTCTTACCTCCCCCCCCACACAACCCTCCCCAGCCTTCCTGCTGTAGTTTGGCAGTCT